TTAATTAATATTAATACATACAGTGATATTCATTCCTCCCAATCCACACTTAGAAATCTAACAACCCTTACAATAAGAGAGGACATTAATGCCTTCATTACTGTTTATGGAAGGAAACCAAGATACACAGTATGTATGGTAAAGTGTGTGCATACTTGTTTTGCAGGTCTTTCATGTCTGTATGATTTATTTTTTTAAAAAAAAATGCTGTTGCTTTCTGTCTTTTGCAACCAGTTGGGATAAGATTATCAGATTTAAGTAAATAAATATTAAAATGATAGGTCTTTTGTGCCAGTTACTTGGCTGATGAATTGAAATATTCTTGTAATGAATAGCACCAGTGAATTTTTTTTTTTTAAACATACTCAAAAGACACCACAAGTAGAACAGCACTCAGGAAATGAAGTCAGTGGTGACCTTCATCCACTACCTCTTCCGGCACAGGGAGGTAATGAAGAAGAATTGTACCTAGATCGTGACGTTGTGGAAGTTAAATGTGAACAAGTAAGAACTTCTATTTTAAGATGCTGTCTGCATGTATTCTTAACTTTTTTACAGGGCTTTTCTAAAGGCATAAATGTTTTAACAAGATAGCTGGATGCCCCTTAAGTATAGCTAATAGATATGTAATAAATATATTGAAGAAGTTGAAAAAGGGTCAGTTAAATTGTACTGTCCTTTCAAGAGCTGGTTCTCTCAACAGTTTCTTTTAAAAAACTGAGTTCCATGAATAGGCATACTATGGCAATTCTGAAAGAAAAGTAATTTTTTAATGTAGCAGAATGTGGTTATTGAACTTTGAGGAAGATTCCGCTTAACTTCATTGATCAAATGGTGAATTATATCTATTTGGAAATTAGGGGATGTGTTCTTACTCATATTTTCAGGTCATAGAAGATAATTCTCAGATTGAGGTCCTAAAGAGTCAACTTGCTGATTGCCAGGAAAAGCTTCATAAACTAGATTGGATGGAAAATAAGCTACATCTTTTAGAAGAGAAACTGAAAGGAAAGGTGATCATAGATGAGGAGGACTGGAATAACTTGTTGAGTCGAGTTTTGCTTCTTGAAACAGAACTGTTGTTACAATCCAAAAAGGTATGTTAACTTCTGATTTCCTTCTGTAACAAAAATTGCCCAGACACGACGTTGTCAGGAGGCAGGAAAAGCAGAAACAGGCTGATGTATGCTTTTTCACTATTTTTAAAGGCATGATCTGAACGGAGGTGCTGTTTATGGAGGTGATGGTATTTCTTTCTGGACTGTTAAGTTCTGTTGTTTTCTCATGCTCTGTGAAGCAAAGCTTTCCGTTGGAAATTCCTGCCTTGAAGGAACAGCAGGTGTAGCTAAGCCTATTTTTATTGGTAATGACTATGTGTGTGTTATTTCCTAGTGAACTTGTAGAAGGAAGCTTCTAAAGACTCTTAATTATGCTGTTCTTTGAGAGCTTAATGTTTCTATAGTTGAGAATTTCATCATGTTAGTGACACACTTAAGGGTTTCCTTATTCAGGTCTGCATTATTCTGAATTTTTTTTTTTTATACTGGCCTACAAATGTTGCTGTTGATACAGTTGAATATCTATATTTTAATTGTCCAAACTCTAATCAGATACAGATATTCCCTTTGGAAGATTAAGTCTTTATTCTGTATAACTGATGTTGGCATGCTTAATGGAATATACAAAGTTAATGGAAAAGTTTAATTTTTATTTTAGTCCTCTTCTTAGTTTGTGGCTCTTTGAAATTTCTAGCCTAATTGGTGGTCTTTCTCCTTTTTATACGCCACTTACCCCCCCCCCCCCCCCCCCCCCTCTTTT